AAAATTAAACTGCATGAATCCAAAGAACCTCCATGAATTGCAGTGCAATCCAGCTAACATACAACAAAGTAAAAAGGCAAAAGACTAATCAATTCAGGAAACAAAGTTCAAGACTGTAACACTAATGAGATTGATTTCAAATTGTGGCAAGGAAAAACAAATAGAAAGTAAAAAAGCCTGTTTCTGATAAGCAATAAAGTAGTATAATAAATACTGCACAGGTTTCTTTACAAGTAAGGACTATGTTGCACATGCTACGCTTTTTTTTTTACCACTGAAAATTAGTACTTAACTAATAAGGAATATAACTACAAAATTCAGATTTGGATGAAAAGTCATAGTGAGAAAAACTGCTCTTTTTTGGAAGACACTTTAAATTATTTATTTTTTTTTTTTTTTCAGAAATTGCTTCTATTGAAATCATGTTTATCAACTACTTGCATGGCTGATCTCACACAAAAGTGTACCGTGCTACTCAATGTAATATGTTTGTCATAGAGGATTACATCCCAAAAAATCACTCTTTGCGTACCATGAGGCATTTTTTGACCATCCAGCACATCTAATAACTGCAGAACTAGTATAGAAATAGAGTGATGTGAAAAAACTGGTAATTGCAGCTAAAAAGGTCTCTGAATCAGGATGCTTCCCAGGTAGTATGTGAGAAAACAAAGACATTTCCAAAGAACATGTTTTAATATATTTTCTCCAATAAAAGGACCACTGTCCAAAGGAATTTGCACCTGGTGGTAACAGAGCAGTCAGAGGCACCAGCATTTTACAAAAGGTGTGCACCTGGGAGGAAAAAATTGAACTCTGTGAAAGCTTCTGACTGATTAATGAACAGTTTGAACACAATGAAGGGAAAACAAAGGGCACATAGAGAGTCACTTTCAAGGCTCATAAATGTTGTTCACTACTGGCTTGTTTGAAGCTTTTCCAACTTAGTAAATCAGTGCACCCTAACTCAGAATAATACTATGATGAAAGATGATGTAGCATATTGAACATGTCAAAATCAAGATTTTTCTTTCTCCGATGTGAATTATGCACTGACAAATTTGTGGAACCCAAGAAATAATGAGTTCTCTCATCAGAATTTTTCTTCATTTAGCCAGGTCTGTATTATGGTTTTTAACCCTTTCTAACCCTAGCATATATTTGTCAGAACAATTATGTCTCACCTAAAAAGACAAAAAATACCATATAGAAAGTTAAACATCTGCATAGCAAAACCGAAACTTTAAGAGATGTCTAATATTATTATATGTAAAATCAATTCATAATTCACTGAGATTTATGCCTGAACTTCCTCAGGCCCTCCTGAAAACTTCATCTTAGAGTATCTCCTGCTTTATCTATTTTTATTTATTTCTATCATTTTTATTAAAAAAGATATAGTTATTTCCCTTTCTATGATAAATATAGAGATAATCACTATAGACACATCTTAATACCCAATATACATCATATAGGATGTAACAAAGGTTGTGTTACTTCTATTATTACTATTATCATCCAATACACACTAGGCTTCATGTCTGCAATCAAATTTTGCAGTTAAGGAAATCCATTAATAAAGAGCATTTACAAATTGTACTTTTATTTTTGATGTAATTTCGATTTATTTTTCATACTTATTTATATTTATATATATAAAAACTACTTTATATGGGAAAAACTAAATGCAAAGATGACTTTGCAGGAAGAAATCCTCACAAATGCCCCTGGGTTCGCTGCAATTCATGTCTGCTTAGCATTTACTTGAGATAAAAGGCAGGGTTAACTGTGCCCAATTGGTATCAAACCTGATAATCTCTTCCTGTTCTGCAGAACTGCTCTTATCATCAAGAACATCCCCAACAGAGAGCAGGGATAAAATATGGAAACTGTGCAATCCTACTGTCAGTTTAGGTCTCTGATAGGGGTCAGTAAGTAACGGGATGAGAGAGTGACACCAGAGCACTCTGCGCCTCCACTAGACCTGTTTGACTACACTGACGTTTAAGGATGTGATGGAACCATGTTCCTCTCCTGACTACACAGACTGTCAAATGAATTAAAACATACAAAGGAAACTGCTATAGCTTTGTTACTAACTTACAAAAAGACATAAGTACATTGACTGGTTCCATCTAGAAACTGTGGAACAATATAAACAATTAAGTCCTGCTTATTTATTTATATTTTAATTTTAAAATAGTTGCTGAGCTTTAAATGAGAATATTATTAAAAATAATAAAAAATTCCGCTGAAATGGCTTGACTGCAAAAGTCAGCCATATCTGAAAAAATTCTTTTCAAAGCTGGTTTTGAAGAGAATGCAACAAAAATAATAGAAGAGAAAATTAAAATATTTTGAAGCGTTTTATGCAATTCTGTAAATGAATATTTGGGGAAAAAAATCTAGAAGCCCTGATAGCAATGTTTGTAACTGTAAATAATATGCTGAAAAAATATCACTTGGAAAATATTACAAGGAGAATCAAATCCTCTATATGAAACTCACTTCACAGACTTACAGCGATTCCCCCTGTTTTTACCAGTTTACTACAAAACCACAAATAAGCTGCCTAGTTTTTGAACCTGTGCCTTTTGCTGAAGCTCCGTGGCCTGCAACTCATGAAGTGCAATAGCTGGAATGAGGGATAACTATGACACCTGCTGCATAAAAGAAGGTATTTTTAGTGGAGAAAAGGACTGTTGGCACTTGTAACAACACAGCACTGGATGGAAATGGTGGTACTGAGGTGCTGAAAGATTCTTTGAAGAGGCTGTTTCATTACAGAAGTTTATGACAGAGACTTGACTGATGGGAGATGAGGCTGGAAAAAAGACACTTCCTCCTGGGGACACTATTTTAAAGAACTAAAGACTTCTTCACCATTAAGACAAGTGTTTTCTTCCCTGGGCAAGATAAATAAGTTATACTTGCAGTTCATGTACCAATGCAAAGTTATTTGCAAAGGAAAGAAAGACATTTCTCTAACTCATTAATCAGAATATGAATGGAGATAGACCTAAATTATATCACCCCAGAAATATTTTCCTTGTATTATAAAACTCCTGACATAAAGGATTTGAAAAAATTCGTATTTCTGTTATTCAAACACCTGTGCTGGAAAAAAATTGTTTAAACCTCATTATCAGTTAAGTATTTAAATCTTAAACCTCCAGTTTTAGAAATGTCATAATTCAAATCTTGTGCTATACATTAAAAGTAATCATTACAATGTGTGATATCTCTGACAATAGAATAATATTTCTATAATCTTTATAAATTATGTTTCATTTGAACTGTAGAAAATTTTATGCTGTATAAAAATTGTCTACTAAGGCATAAATTCAAACTTTAAATTATTCTATTTTCTCATACACTATATTTGATTGTTCCCACACACATTTAAAATTAATTCTGCCATACTTTTATAAGACTATGTTACTTTTAAATTCTTGCCATCTGTTCTAAAACTTTTACCCTGAAAGGTGTTTTAGATTAAAATAATATATTGTATCAATGCAGAGATTTTGTCATGCCCTTCGGTATGAATTCTGTGTTGCTAATAAATTCTTAAATTTCAATTGCCCATGTTTTATAACATGGGGTGCATCTCATGTCTCTCTACTGAATATAAAATGTATTAATATTTAACTTTAAAGCACAGCAGCTATATAGCCATAATCAAAGAATATATTTTATACCACTATGTGAAGAGTAGGCAGGATTTCACAGAAAATTTCCAAAATCTTCACTGAATTTCCATTTTTATCTAGTTTTTTCCTTTTAATACATATAACTTATTACCAGTGCACTCATTAAAGAAACAAATACAGCAAATTAACATGTTCCCAAAATAATATTTTGCAAAGTTCAAAATACCTTTATACGACTACTGAAGACTAGCTATTTTAAAGCTATTAATAAACACTGTATTTATTTCTAGGTCTTCTGGATTGGTAAATCTCTCAATTCCTAACCATTCTTTTGACTATTTGTTTTGCCTCCAGATTTATTTCCTATGCCACAATGCACTGTTCCTCTGCCAAAAAGATGGAACACACAAATGTATACTGAAGTCCCTTTCAGAACTCCCCAGTAAATCACTCAGTGGTCTGCAATCCTTACTTACATTCCTGTGCCACAGATCTTATTCCAACTTCTGTCCTCCCACTGGAAAGACTTTTTCTCTTCAGAGACTCAGTTTAAACAGGCTCACTCAGACTATATTGGAAATGTATTGGAAAAAAATGTATCTAGAAAATCTCTACAAAAATGGAATAACAATGAAATATAAATGAAGGAGTTGTTTTTCTTTTTTTCATTTTTCGAAGACCTTTGCTCATAAATTTGAAGTACAGTTTGAAGAGACAATTTTCCAATGGGTTTTTGTATATTTCAGATTTATATCCTCTGATTGGCTTCTAAAGCATCACACTCTTCTAAGCAAAAACAATCTCCTTTTCTACTGGATAAAAATTCAAGTGCTTTGAATAAAGGCAATCTGTAAAAGAGATTGTCACCAACTTGATAACTCCAGGAGGGGTTATAACAGGGGCGAGAGACTTTTTAGGGATTAGTAAATCACAGAACTAGGTGGGGGGAAAAAAAAAAGAGACTTTGTTGAATCTCAGAAGGTTAAGCTAAAGACTGAACTGCTGCTCAAATCAGTCCTTACCTTATCCTGCTGAATACTTTTCATCCCTAGCAGTCTCAGCAAGCCCAAAGATTTGAAACTATTAAGCTTAACCTTAAATTAGTGGGTAATACCACTGGAATATGATTTCAGATGAAATCCTGTCCCACTTAAATCACTGACAAGGCTCTTATCAACTTCAGAAAAAACAGGATTCCTCCACAGAATAACGATCTACAGGACATGCTTTCTTCATTTATGCAAATTCAAATACGAATTACCATGAAAAAATGACCTTCCATTAAGAATGTACTTTTTTTTTCTTTTAAAACAAATTTAAAAGAGAAAACAAAATATTAGAACTTACATTCAATATCAAGGTACATGCTCTTTTGGTGCCCACCAATTCTACTTGCAGCTTCACAGTCATATCTCCCTGAATCTGACAACTTCACATCTTTAATATGCAGTGACGATTTTCCATGCTGCCCTTTGACTTCTATACGGCCATCTGGGCTCTGTTTACATTGATTCAGGAAAAAAGAAGGTTTTATATATTTATATATGTATATCAATGTATAATTTATATATTAAACACCATTGATAAGAATGACTGAAAGCACCTCTTCACCTACGGTGAAGTTATTACTGACAGCTAAGCAATTTCTTAATTTTCCAAATAAATTAAAAAAATATAGAAAAATATGTTCTGTTTCTAGACACTATAATCAAGGGAATAAGTACATGCTTAAAGGAACATTGTCAAGAGAAACCACAAAATATATCAACTTATGACTTCAAGAGTGAACTTCATACTCAAAACTTCTTTATGATCTCACTCACTGTGTTATGAAGCTGCAGTTAATGAAAATGCATTCATGTAAGATCATTATATCTTAGATTACAGTTAGCATCATCTCTCTGGTCCTCAGCAGTGCAGAAATAACCCCTCAGACGACAGCCAAACTACAAATCCAGCCATAGATTTATTTTCATTATTCACATTTTCTAGTCAGAAGCTCAAAATTGTTAAAAAACTTGAACCATAAATGCAACTGGAAGTTCTGGATTTCAGTTCCATATCATTGGATGGAAAAGGCCAAGAGAGAAAGAATAATCTGGCTTCCAATTTTCTAGAGCATAAATTTTATATTTAGCAAATTCATAAAAATCCTTATCCATAACAACTCCTCTCCCCCAAATTATTTGAATTTAAAACATATATAAATATTGGGGACAGTTGAACAAAATAATTAAAAAAAAAAAAGTCCTCTGCTTGGCACTTCGACCTTCATAGAGTAGTATACCTGAGGAAAAAGGAGTTATTTTTAATTTGGTTCTGCTCTGTACTTATAGAATCATGGAATGGTTTGGGTTGGAAGGGACCTTAAAGATCATCTCATTCCAACCCCCCTGCCATGGGCAAGGACACCTTCCACCAGACCAGGTTGCTCAGAGCCCCATCCAACCTGGCCTTGAACACTTTCAGGGATGGGGCAGCCACAACTTCTTTGAGAAACCTTTGGGAAATTTGTTGTACATTGGTTTTTATTTTTGTTTCAGGAAAAAAATGTTATTAGAAATACTGATATTCACCTACCTTCACTATTAAGGGAGGTGGAAAAGGGAGGGAAAATCAGTAACTATTTCATTGGATCACATTTAAACTTGAAACAGATTTAATGTTCAGTTCTACAGTACACAGTCTGGATTTTACTCCTTTTACACTAAATACCATGAAGCAGCTGATATTTAAGTGACTGAGCATTTAACTCTGTACAGCTGTTCCTTGACTTAATAGAGGAAAAAACACACACAATTAAGATCTTAAAATATTTGCTGGAAAGCAGTCAGACAAAGCATTCTGTTTATCACTATTTACATGGAAAGAAATGTATTCTGATCCCATGTCAGAATCCAAGAACATTGAATTCTGTTTCCTGTGAGCACCTCTCAGCTAAAGTACATAAATTAGAGACATGGAATTCCAATGCAAGAGCAAACAAAACCCCCTCTGGATTGGTAAAAGTCAGTAACTAAGACCACTTAGCTGTCATTTATGTAATTTCTAATACTGAAAATTCTGTTTCCATTATAAGTTTAAAGAAGTAAAAGTTATGATGCTACTTGTAAATATGTTACAGTAATGAATATCATGGCTTTTGGAAGGAATTCTTGGGATAATTAAAAAGCAATTTCTTTAAGATAAAATATTAAGTGGTAAAACAAGTACTTTCTATGACATAGTTAATAACAGTATTATTTCCCTACTTCTTTTTTCATGCAATACCATGGTCAATCTACATTATTCCCACCTAAAATGTAAATACACTTCAGCAATTTAATTTCCGATTTTACTTTGATGACAGATATTTCCCTAAGATACATTTAAAAGTGTGAAACAACCTGTGACTATGAATCACAGATACAATAGTAAATACTGTATTAGTGATTCATCAGTTCATTACTAATTCCAAATACTTAAAATCACTATTATATATTTTGCTATTCCATACAATCCTAAGCACAGATATGAGTGCTAATTGATGTTATAAAAGAAAATAATAATGTAAATTATCACAAAGTTCCTTAAAAAAATAGTTTTTACAGTAATTTTTCAATCTTGTTCTAATTTATCTAAATATTTTCTAGTACTGCTGGAAAAAAATGTTAACTGTACCCAAAATAACTTTCCTATGTTTTCACACTCTGCAATTCAAATACAGATGACATAATATATCTTAGATATATAGTTAGGACAAAAGCCAAACTAATAAATAGTCTGAATGATAGGAAATTTTTGCATAACCATATCACTTATTCTCATAATCAAATAAATGGTGAGAAACATTGTAAGAGGGATTTACTAGGTTCAAAGTCCATAAAATAAATAAAACAACTATTGTTGGCAAGAAAATTTCACTCAAATTGTCATAAAAATATGCATCTACTAAATATAATTTCTATTTTTTCAAAGTTGTCTCATTGAAATTGTTACCTAATAATAAAAAATGTATAAGATGTGTTCCAGTACATTGCTTATAATGTATATTATACTGTGACATCTTCATGAACAGTTTAAGAAGTCCTGTTCCCTCGATCTATTCTGCAGATAGTGCAAAACTCCTTTTTTTTTTTTTTCTGCAAATATGGTGCAATACCTGATTAAAAATACACTGATAGCCTGACATTCCTCAACACAGAAACGCATTAAGGAAAACAGTACAAATACAAACAAAAAAAATTCCTTTAATAAATAAATAAATTAATTAAAGGCAATGTTTTGAAGCAGGTGTCTGTGTCTATGAGACGATTCCTGGAATATGCTGGAGATTAACACATGCAAATAAAAAATGGTAGTTAGTATGATGAATTTTTCACAAGTACTTCAAAAATACTAGTGTGGTTGCATTAAACTGCTTTATGGTGTAAGTCAGTTAATAGAGACATGGATCCACAATGTCAGTGTTTCTATTTAACTTTGAACAGCAAATACACAATTCCAAACAGAAGCGGCATTAATCTTGGGGTTTGCACCCACCAGAGCTTTGTAACCATTGGTAAAATCTTTCTGAGGTTTATTTCTCTCCTGCACTAATTGTGCAGAGCACATTATTAGCACCCTATCTGGTATCATAACACACCAAAACATGGAGAGGAAAAGACAGCCCACATGAGAACACCAAGTACATTGTACCTGCCCAGTAATCCTCAGGGAAAACCCCCATCGGGAAAAAAAGCCTTGGAACTGCCAATGGGGACAAATCAAAATACAGATATAATCTCTATAAATTAATAATGTCAGTAACTCTCAAGTCTGCCTGAAATAATAATGGACACCTACTAAATTTTTCCTTTCAAATATTATAGTGGGAGAGATGTAGAATACATATTATGCTGTCTTCTGTCAGTCTGAGTACCCGTGCTTTTATTTCTTAGTATTAATGAAGAGTATAAAAATGTAGAAAACAAAACCCTAGACAATGAGAATAGTCTCTGTGGTCTAGTACTCATTATTTGTGCTCATTCATTGAATTAATCCTCCATCCTGGAGCATGAATAGCCATTGAGGTCTGAAAACACATGTGAACAACACACTTCCATATAGATATAGATACTCTTTAGAAAGATAAGTTAGAAAGTCTGTTAACAGGCACTTACACTCTAAAACATGGGAAGAATGCCAAAGTCTTCAGAAATTACCTTTTAACAGCATTTTGGGAATCATAACAAAATCTTAAGAAATCAAAATATTTTTCATCATAAATGTTAATTTGAGAATTTCATAGAATTCATAAATAAAAGTGAGAGTTTTGAGGCTTTAGTGGTGTTTTTTTTCCTCCCACAACCCCATTACCAGCATAAAGCTAAAACACAAGTGACAAGTCTTCAGCAGAGACTTTGATAGTGTTTTACTCAGGTGAAGTCACTTTGTGACTTGATCCACATGAAAACCACACTCCATCGATTAAGAATTTAATATATACAAGAAAAACACCTATTTTGAATACTGATAGCAATGTAGTTCTCTGTCATTGACAAAGAAAACTCTTCTGTACAGGTCTCTAAGTAAAATTATACATAATGACACCTCTGAAATACAAAAAGTACCTTCTAAAAAAAAAATAAAAAAGAAAAAATGAAAACTTTCTGCATTGCAATATTATTCCTACTTATAATATGTAGCTAAACCCAAATGAATCCTACACTAATAAAAAAATAAGAAGTATCCCATTATTTTTGGTTTTGATAAAATTCTTGTTGTGACATATATGTTATTCTACTCCTTGAGTTCTTCTCTCATGCTCTTGCTTCTCAATTTGTAGTTCCATGTGTGAATATTCCCAAAGCCCAGGCCAGATGATGCTGATCTGACTGATTTTTGCACAGCTTCAAAATTATAATTCCAAGGCAGCATCACAGCAATGATAACTCTGCATTTCAAGGGTTCCACATGCAGAGAGAACAGAGAAGTGATGAGATAATAACATCCAAAAGGCAACAAGAACAGCTTCTGGGACAGAACAACTTATTCAGGTATCATGGAGTGTTCAATCTGCAAAATTCCATTGTCATTGTAGTAAAATCATTGTAATTACTCAGAAGGGGAGAATTAGCTGATTGTGATGCTTGGAAGTTGTCATTCATTTACAACTGTAGAAAGCTGTACTTGGGCAGAGGTAGATGCTGTGGTTAGTGGATGAGTTTGAATTACCATCCACTTCTCCATCTCACACTGAGAAAATGTAGCACCAAATGAGATGAAGTTGTTTGTCTGCCAAAACTTGCATTTTGAGTTGGCTGAAAACAAGAATGGAAGGCGAGAAGAGTTGCAGAAATTGGTGATTTGTTTGTAGCTGGATTTTGGTAATATTACTTGGATGGTTAGAGCAGCTGACTTCCTTTCTATAGAGTTTAACATTTGGCTGACTGAAGTACTCCTTTAACCCCTGAAGTCCAAGTACAAGACTGCAAGCAAAAAATCCCTACATTTAAAATCCAGACCAGTTGAATACCT